CCTATACGGAACTTTTTATAAATATTCTATTTAAATGCCCTCTATAGCAGAATATAAAAAGAATATTTCATATTATATATACAAAAACACACAGTTACTCCCTCTTAGATATTGAATTTATTTTATTAATTAAGTAATTATTATTGCAACTTATTCCATATGTTTGTATAAAGAGGGAAAAAAACTTATAAATTTTTAATTTAAATATTGTTATGTACGAGGTTAATTGATTAATATTGTTAAACTTCAATACCCCTGATTAAATAAGTTTAAATGATTTCTTAGAACAATCTGGAAATGGGTCTATTTATTTAAGAAATATTTCATATTTTAAATAAATCTTATTTGCATAACTTATAGGAAACAATAATGTCGTTTAATTTTAGCTTATTTTGTTGTTCGCATATAAAGCTCCTGCTGACTATATTGTTGGATTGCAGTTCGAGAACAAAAAATTTTCTAATTTAATTGCCTTGTTCCTTTAATTGCATTATCCGAATCTATTTTGCATATATGTTAAAGCATTTTTATTGTTTTTTTTTTTTCTAAGAACAAAAATGTTAGTCTTAATTATTGTGTTTAATATAATTTGGGATTTTGAATGCCAAGAATAGCATAATACCTATCTTGCCTTTTCTTTGTCACTCTTCCAATTGTTCTGTTGTATATTGCAGATTTGTACAACTTGAATAATAGTGCAGTGTAATAGAATATAAGAATTTATTGTTCAACGCCTTTTGAGTGCGAGGCATGTCTCTATAGCATCAGTTTGAAATCCACCTCCCTGATGAATTCGAGTACCTTTGAGGCTTGGAATAGTTTCGGCTGTTTGTTTTTTTATTTCTCATTTTGCTAGCTATTTCTGATTTACAGTGGACCCATCCAAGATAAAATAACTTACTTCTTTCGTATATCACATTCTACCCAGTGCATCCGGGCATTTATATTTTAGTCGTAGTATATTCTAATTTTAAAAATAAAATCCTTGCAGTAAATAAAAATTTCCTATAATTTTTTAAAAATTTTATTAATATATTTTATTTGAAATTGTGATCTTAATAAGAATTTTTATTAATTTTATAAATTTTATTAATAATTTAAAGTGGATAAGAAGAAAAAATTAAAAAAAATGGAAAATAAATTAAAAATTCATTAAATTTTACACCAATTATCCTATTTTTCTGGTTATTTTCATTTCATATTCAATTCATTTTTCAGCACATTTAAACTATAAAAGTTTTATTTATTCTTTAACATTTTAATATTTTTCATTTTATTTATATACAATTTAAAACCATGCAAGTACCGTATACATATATATATCAAACCTTATATTATTTGTACATACGCCCGTATTTCCTTTAGAGATTTTTTTTTTAAATGATATAAATATCGAAATATAAAACTTTTTGAAATGCGCTCGAAAAGGATCTTATATGCAGATTTTCTCACGATGCACACTTTACGAATAATATACATATACACATGTATGTACACACTATTATATAGGAAAGCCACCATATACAGATTTCTTTTAAGATTTCTTCAAAGATTTCTGGTTTTGAAATTTTAGAAACTTAGAAAAGAATAGAAAAAAAAATCCTTTTTTCTATTCTCATTTCTGTTTGTCTTTTCTTCTATTTCGTTCTTTTCTATTTTATGTTTCTCTTCAATTTCTGCTAGATAAACTTTTATTCATTTTGTTTCCCTTCTCCAAATATATGCGTACATACTTTTATTTAGAATAAAAAACAACACAAAAAAAAAAAAGAACCAACAAAATTATTATCCTTTAATAAAAATAAACAAAAACAAAACTTGAATTTCTAAAGACTTTGCAATGGCTTTTTAAAGACTTCAAGTATGTCTTATAGCTTAAGTAAAGTGAAAGAAAATCTAAAAAAAAAACAATTTTTTTTTAATAAAATAAAGGACGAGCAGCAATCCCTGTTTCAAGACACAAATCCCAATATTTCGTTTTATAAAAATGTATGTATGTATGTGCATGTGTATATATTTGCTTACATATTAAATGACCATTTTACAATATGATAAGATATTGGAACTACTAAAGAACTAAACTTTTTTTTGTATAAAAAATAAAAAAAATTTATAAAAAGGACATTTAATTTTTTTGACCATAAACATTGCTTAATATGAAAATCCTTGATTTGAATTAAGAGTTAAAATTGACTAAAGATTCTTATATCCTCTTAATTATTAGAAGAATTAGATCTAAAATTTTATTTAAGATTTTGTAGTGTTCAAGAGTTTTTAAAATTTATTTTCGTGACACAAGAAATTTAAACAAAATCGTCCGCTTCTGTACCGCAATTTTATTATTAAAATAAAATATTTTTGATTTTTATACTTTGAAGCTTCATGAATTTTAGTATATTAACTTTGGTACGAAGTAAATATACGTACACCCAGTTGAAAGAGTCATCTGCAATATGGACACATATATAAAATTCTTGGTCACCATAAAATTCTGTTCTGCCCTTCCGATTGTACGATCATATAAAAAGGAAATAAAGCAAATACCATCACACTTTCACAAGTTGCTACTTTTGTACCAAGAACGGATTATAATTGAATCTGGATCAATTCGAACAAAGAATTCAGGTAGCTGCCATACAACTCAAAAAAATTATTTAAAATATTTCCAAAACTAATAGAGATATTAGTATTAAATTTTGTAAGGGTATATCCAATTACATTCTACGTATATTCTAAGAATTTGAAAGAATTGGTTGCCATGTTTCGAGTAGCTGCCATACAACTCTGCAAGCTAATTTGAAATATTTTGAAAAATAGTAAAGTTAGATTCATTAAACTTGAAGGTCTAATTATAAGTCAAATATATGTATGAAGGTTCTATAGAATTAATGGCAACATTTAAAGCTATTCCTAAATATTTCAATTGTGAAGGTGCAGGACCGAAACGTTTTTACTTGTTTTTTTTTTTTTAGTTCTTACTCGAAAAGTAAGAAATATCAATTGGTTCTCTTAGCAAAAAGTATTAAGTTATGAATGAAGCAACAGAGTATTTACAAGTAGACATAATTTTGCTATATGGTCACATGTTTTATATAGTAATTTCAGTAATTTTTTATAAGTTTAACAATTTAATTTTAAGATGAAAATGGGAAAAAATATAACGAACTTTCAAAATTCGTGTTTCAATCAAATTTCATATTACTTCTGCCATAAAATACAACCAAACAATATTAAATTAATTTATTTACCTGAATCATTTTCAAATATTATTAAATCTATATATTAACTCTATATATTTATAGAGTTTAACTCTATAATTAAATCTATATATTATTAAATCTATACACTCCTTTTCAAGAAACGTAAAATTAAAATATTTTTTACCTATTCTTCTTGTTATTCTATAAACACTATAATATTTTCTTTAATTCAAAATGCAATACTACAAAATTTTCAATTTAAATTCTTCTAAAATTTTAGAATTTCGAATACAAATTTACATATTTATATTGTGCTAAAATATAATAACAACAATCATATTATATAATAAGGATCAAAGATTTCATTTTGTTATTTTCAAATTTGTTTGTTGCATCAAAAATTTTTGATCTGCTTAACTAAAAATCTAACTAAAAAATATCCTTAAAATTTTCATCTTTGTTTTTGCTGGTTTTCTTATACTTTTCCTTTTTTTCTAAAGCATAGCAATATGAAATCCTTTGCTTTCAACCAGGTAAACATAATTTTCTATTGAATAAACATTATTTTTGTTTTTCTGCTTCGTCCACAAGAACTTGATTCGTGAACTTGTGTTATTTTTATATAGAAAATATTAAAAGAATTTTTGATAAAATCGTGCATATACTCGTATACTTGCATATTTTTAAATTTATATTCGCACAAGTAAGGAAGCATGTGCACCAGAAAGCATTTGTAAATATTTTTTATTTTAATTTTAATTTAATGACTTTGAAATTCTATTATTGTATATTTTAAAACTATAAAAATTTAATCAAAAAGAAAAAGAAAAAATTATTTTTAAATTCATTTTATCTTTAATCTATACGCAGAAGCTGAATACAATTACTAAAGATGCCATAAATTGGTTTTGATATAAAAAATTCTTTAACTTTTTCAGCCTGATAAATAGCCATTTTTACTGTGTTCATTAATTTAAATCTAATATTGAATAATCAGTTCTTAGTTTAATATCGCTCAGTTAATGCGTGCATTTTTCGTTATTTTGAACAATAACCACATAATATGTTAACCAAAGTTCCTTATAACTATAATAAAATTTTATTACCTCCAAAAGCTTGCACCGAAAAAAATGTTATCAGTGTTCAATTATGTGATAAGAATGATATTTATTTTGCCCAATTTATTTTAAACATTGAGTCACTAATTTGAGCTATAGGTACTTTTTAATATTCATTCATTTACTCCCATTAATTATCACACTATAACATATATGTAATTATATATTTTACATTCTCAATAAGTAGAATTAAAATATATAGATAATATTTACCCCCTAACTTTACCCATCACTCATACCAATTTACTACACATATCGATATTCCAATATTGACAATGTCATTATATAATAAATTTATGTTTAAATTAAATTTCGAGGGTAAAGCATAAATTCCGTAGCTGTTATATTCACAAAAAGTCATAAAATTGTGCTTTAAAAAAAAATTACTAATTATGGTTTTTTTGAACAATATAAGGGAGGGTTATTCCGAGAAGCATTGAGATTAACTTTGAGCAAATAAAACATTTCAAAAATACATAAAATGTTTTCTGCTAAGTTATCATCAGTATTAATTTAATTCTCTCAATGTTTGGTTCGGCTTAATTAATTTATTTGGAATAACATCTGCCCTGGCGTTGGCGTAAAAAAGAATAAAATTCTAAATAATTTTAATTTTAATATTTTTAAGATTTTTAATTTAATATAAAATTAAATAAATAAATAGAAAGATAGCAATTAAGAATGATAATGACAAATAATCGATCTACACTCCGATACTTTTACTATGCATTTATTTTAGTGATACTTGTAAGTAAAAAGAAATATTCGAATTTCATAATCCACATAATTTTAAAAAATTATTGAATATTCAAACTTTTATAAGAACACAGAGCAAGTGATAAATCAAACATACGTGCATTATTTTATGCTTACATAAACATACAAATACGTATACCATATAAAGGGTAATGAAAATAATATTGACTTAAGACTTATCAAATGCCAAGGAGTCTTAAGAAATACCCGTACAAACGTATGTTCGAAGGGTATACTAAATTTGCCTTACTGAGAGTTTGTAACGCTCAGTAATAACGGTCTGAGATATAGACTCAAGTTTTTTTTTTTTATCAGCATCGAATTCTCAGTCAATTTAGCATGGTCGATCAGTCCGTCCATCCTAAAGATAACTCAAAAACTAATTGAGCTAAGTTCACCAAATTTTCACAAATGATTTTTAATAGTAAATTCCAGAACCCTCTTTAAACTGGATATGATCGGGTTCGAGTAGCTGACATACAACTTCAAAATTTATTTGGCTATATCTCAGAAACGCTGTGGCATTGAAATTTTGCACGAGCAAATATATAAGTAGGACCAATGTGTTTGATAAAAGTAGTTGAAATTGCTTGGTGGTCATCTGGTAGCTGTCAAACAACTTCAACAGTAGTTTGGCCATATCTAAGAAAATATTGAAAACAGTACTAAAATTTTGCATAAATTAATAGGGCAACTTAAAGTTAAAAAGGGCATAGTCTGTTCCATAGTCAACTATGATATATATATTCGCACATAGGATAACAAATTTGTACTGGTATCACAAAGTTGACACGGTCAACTCTAGTTTTTCTCGTTTTTTCTTATTCTTGCTAATATTATTTTTCATAAATTTTTTGTTTCTATTAAAAATTTACTCGACATTTAAATTAAATAATTTTTAATTTTTTTTTGTTTTTTGATTTGTAATCTAGGGTTTCTTTTTTGGTACTGCCTACGTAACAGTTGATCTTTTAGGCTTATATTTTAAACACATATACCTTTTATATGGTTCAATTTCAGAACTTTTATTAGGTGGTTTTGCTATATTTGCTGCAGTTTTATCTTTGGTTGTAGCTACATTCGGTTGCATTGGAATTCAAAGATTAAGTGGTCAAACTATTATATTATATTCAATTGGATTAATAATATCAATGTTTGTTAATACTGGCCTTACTATAGCATCCTTCACCTTAGAAAACTCAGAAAAATCAGCACATCAGAGAACTATTTCCAGTACCATTTTATTATACAATAACTTATTTTTAAATGAAATTGCAAATGCATGGGATAGCGTTCAAAATACAGTAAGTATAAAAATTTGAACTTGTTTCTTCTATTTTTTTTTTATTATTTTAACCAATTTTAGTACAATTGTTGTGGTGTTAGCGGTCCTTTAGATTGGGATAAACTTTATCATTCCGAAAAATTACCACAAAGTTGCTGTACAAGTAATTTTGCTGATTGTAAACCATCATCAGTTTATGTAAAATTTAATGGTTGCTTTGAACCACTCATGGAACATTTGGAAAGTAAAATTCACACAATGGCTGCAGTATCATTGGCCTTTACAATTTTTCATGTAAAAATTTTACTATTTTTTAAATTTATATTCTTTTATTCCCGATGTTTTTTTTCTTTAGATACCAGGAATTGCGATTGCTTATTTTGCTAGCAGACTGGCCCGTAAAAATGCATTATAAATTTATTTTGAATCTGAAAAAAAGTTCTGTAAAGTATTAACCCTTTAGATATTTTGACTTTAAATTTTTCCTGACTTTCGCCTAGCCCCTACTTAAGCATAATCGAAAAAGAAATTGTTTTCATTTCTCTTCACCCTTAAAAGAAGAGTGCATTGCGTTGGACATTGGAAGTAAACGGTCGTAATCAAAAGTTCTTCAACCAATACATTAATGAATAAAAAGTTTATATTTTTTTGAATTTTTTATGTTTTTTTTATTTTACAAAAATATAAGTAGAAATTAAGTAAATATTTTTATCGTAGCTTTTAGATTTTTAATTTTCAATATTTTACTAGTTTAAGTTGATAAAATTGTTATAATGCATATATTTACCGACTGTATTGCTTATAATAAGGGAGCTGATGTGATGGCATCAAATTTCGAATGTCAAGTTTTCGGTGGGAACACACTCCTTCTTAGTAGGGAAGCATAAAAAAACTATATTTAGAAGCATCTCGTTCTGCTGTCTGTCTGTTTGTTTGGGACGCATGTATCTGAATTTCGACTGAACCGATTTTGATGAAATTTTATATGTGAGTTTATTTTTGCTGTGGTATGGATTGACAAACTTTTGTCATATATCAAACCTCGGGGCGATTTTATATTTTACGTTTTTGACATTTTACGAATTTCTTGAAATTTAATATTTGAGTTCTGATTCATACCCAAACTAACTGGCATTCAGATAATTCGGATGGCACATTCCGAAACTCTACTAAAAGTCAAATTTACAATTTTCTATGTATGTTAACTATGAAGTGTTTAAAAAGAATTTTCTTAATCTTCTGCAATACTTTCATTGAATTAGACATCTTTTTTAAATATTTTTTTTAAATATTCTAATTTAACCATTTTCAAGATAAAAATATTAACTTTTGAAAAAGTAATGTAAATTTAATACATTGTTCTTGAATTTACCGTTATATAGAAACAAAATTAAAGTATAATTTTAGTATGTACCTATATCAATTAGTCATAGTTAGGGTTGTATAATGTTATCGTACACTAAGATAAGATCAAACGAAGTAGTATTAGCAAAAGCTTTTTCTTCCAACGAGAACAGATATAGTTGACCATGTCAACTTTGTGATACCAATAGTCATTTCATTTTCATTCATTGTGATTTCAGTATGGTTTCTGTAGCATACGACCATGGTCATAGAAATTTTAACTAGTTTTATTAAATATATATATATATTGCTTTGCACAATTATAGCTTAAAAAATTTCTGAAATAATGCCAAATAACTTTTAGAATTGTAGGTTAGTTTCGATCGAACCCTTGCTACATTCAATTTAAGTGGGGTTTCGGCATTCACTATTATAAATCATTTGTGAACTTAGTAATTGAACTAAGCCTTTGAATTATCAATGGAATGACAGACAAAATTAAATTGACTCAGAATTTCAACTGAACAAAATTATAACCTTATGTCTATATTTCAGAGCATTATTTCTAAGCGATACAATAATGGAAATGCAAATTTATAATATCCTTCGAATATATACGTTCGTACGAGTATAAAGATAAGCGTCATTTCTAAAAATTAATACTAATAAAGGTAGGTCAAACCCATGGTTTGAAAAGAGCACTTTTCTCTTCAACGAGGAGAAAAAACACTGTTCTTAAAAATAATCTTTTAAATTACTAAAGCAACTTTTATTAATAGGCCAAATTGTTTCACAGAATTTTGTACAGAAAAAAAAATTGAAAGAGGCGTTAACATAATGGTCGAATTCAAGGGTTAATTCTGTGGGTTTGAGTAAATAATTATATTTTTTGATATCATTTCATTTATCGTTAGCTTTCTACGCTTACAGAGCTTTGGAAAAACTAAAATGTTTCAAAAATATAAGGTACCAAAAACTTAAATTTTACAAATTATGAGATTGGGTGAAGATGGGAAAAAAATCTTCTAACGAAATAAAACATTTATTAGTATCTAAAAGCTGTTAATATTTCAGAATTTAAATCTTTTGTAAACAGACACACGGACGGTCGGACGGACGGGAAAATATTTTTTTGAAAAAGTACTAAAAGCTGGGGAAAACGGATAAAGTAAAATAGTAAAGAGTACAAAGTTTTCGAAAGCATAAAACTTTTCTCAATCAATTTATTTTTTATTCTTTTTTTTTATGAATTTATTATCAGTATTACTTTAATTCTCTTAAAGTTCGGTTCGGCGTAAATTAATTTATTTTTCATAACATCTGCGCTGGCGTATGAAATTTTTTATTTTAATTTTAAAACGAGTTTTTTTCGAAAAAAAAAAATAAAAATTTTATTTAATTCTTTTATTTTTAATATTAAATTAAATAAATAAATACAAAGATAACAATTAAAAATGATAATGACAAATAATCGATCTACACTCCGATACTTTTACTATGCATTTATTTTAGTGATACTTGTAAGTAACAAGAAATATTCAGTGTGAAAAATAAAAACTAGAAAAAAAATATTCGAATTTCATAATCCACATAATTTTAAAATATTATTGAATATTCAAACTTTTATAATTATAATTAACCTAGTAACACTTTAATAATCTATACATTATCTATATTATTAAACGTAAAAAATAACACAAATTAAAGTTTCTAAAAACATAGAGCAGGTGATAAAATCGAACATACCTGCATTATTTTATGCTTACATAAATATTTAAAAACCCATACCATATAAAGGGTAAAGAAAATAATATTGACTTCATGTGATTGGGTTCATTCTGTAACACATACTCTTCCCCGCACACACATAATATTTATATTACGTTCACACACAATAATTATATCACTAAATATTTACACTGTTTCTGTGAGGGTTCGTTAAATTTTGTTGAATTGATGATAATATATTAATTCTATAAATAATCTATTTTTTATTATTATTGTTAAGTCAATATTTTTAATTTTTTCTTTATTTATTTAAGTTTGTGTGTATGTGTATGTTGATAATATTAAATTTCAAATTGATAACAGTGCACAACACACGGGTATAGTAATTTTGAAAATACTTAAAACAAAATCTATAATGGTTGAGCAAATTTATTTTAACATGCAGTTATGTATATTATTAGTAAAAGCTTATTTTTATTTAAATACCAAATTTTTTTAGATTTATTTGATGCCCATTATAATGATCCAAACCTTTGTATCAATACACGCACCTTATTTTTAATAATATCATTTTGGTTTTAGTTTTACTGATGTTTAAATTAAGAGGTTTGTTTGAAAATTGTAATAAATTAATATGAATTGCATTAAAATTTTAGAGATTTAAATTTAAAATAAGATGTAAACTAAATTTTTCATTTAATATCTTCAAAAAAAATTGACTATAACCAAGTAAAACCAATAAATTAAACTATGTCTTAAGTACAATTGTACTAAAATTTACACCTGAAACTTAATGATACTTTTTAATATTGTTAGAAATAAAGTTACTACCGTAAAGAGAACAAAAATATTTAAAAAGTTATACCTCTTTCAGCTTAATTACGGAATTAAAATGTCAAAATTTCAGTTTGTTTCAAGATTTCAAGAAATTGCTAAAAAAAAGGCTCTATTTCTTCTAGTTTTCATAAGATTGACAAAAAATGTTTAACTAAGGTTTTTCTAATTTTTTCTAAACCAATAATATCAGTAAACGACAGCAATTATTGTAAACTAGAGCCTTAAGCCATTTTTGTTTATTCTTATCAATTATTTTAAAAAAAATTGCTTGGTCTCATTAAATAAAATTTTGCTCTACATATTTAAATTATTTTTAATAATTTTTAATTTTTTTTTTTTTTTTGATTTGTAATCTAGGGTTTCTTTTTTGGTACTGCCTATGTAGCAGTTGATCTCTTAAGCTTCTATATAAAATACATTCAACTTTTATATGGTTCTGTTACAGCACTTTTATTAGGTGGTTTTGCTATATTTGCTGCAGTTTTATCTTTGGTTGTAGCTACATTCGGTTGCATTGGAATTCAAAGATTAAGTGGTCAAACTATTGTATTATATTCAATTGCATTAATAATATCAATGTTTGTTAATACTGGCCTTACTATAGCATCCTTCAGTTTAGAAAACTCAGAAAGATCAGCACATCTAAGATCTATGTCCAGTACTATTGTACTATATGATGAATTATTTATTAATGATGTTCGAAATGCATGGGATAGCGTTCAAAATACAGTAAATATAAAACTTTGAACTTGTTTCTTCTATTTTTTGTAATTTGTTTATTATACAATTTTTAAAAATTTAATTTTAGTATAACTGTTGTGGTGCTACCGGTCCTTCAGATTGGGATATAATTTATTATTCAGAAAAATTACCACAAAGTTGCTGTACAAGTAATTTTGCTAATTGTAAACCATCATCAGTTTATGTAAAATTTAATGGTTGCTTTGAACCACTCATGGAACATTTGGAAAGTAAAATTCATACAATGGCAGCAATATCATTGGCCTTTACAATTTTCCATGTAATAATTTTACACTTTTTTTTCTAAATCTTTTATTCATACGATGTTTTCTCTCTTTTCATTTTTAGATACCGGGACTTGCGATTGCTTATTTTGCTAACAGATTGGCACGCAAGAATGCATTATAAGTTTATGTTGCCTGGAATTTGTAATATATGTATAAATTGTAAACATGAGAAAAAACAACTTTTACAAAATATTAATAAAGACTGTATGATTTTAATTTAATTAAATTAAATAACCTATTTAATTTAAGAGATTAAAAACCACTTTAGTGTACTAATGTATTTGATGCATGTTAATGTTTTCAATCATTCATTGTACATTATGCCAAGGAACTGTATCATCTGTATTTAGAGGCCATAATATATGAAGTCTTGTAATGACAATAACCGAACGATTAAATTAAATTGACTTTCCGCCAAAAGCAGTATTAACAAACTTCTACTCTTAAAAGTGCAGGCTAAAAAATCAATTTGCTCTTTCTTAAATGCAGTAAATATAATAGCATGATTCTCTAACTTACGCATGTATGTCAAGAAATTTAAAATTTTCTCTCTATAGACAATTTTCAAGTATAAATATGTGAAAATTCAAGTACATTTTCATTAAACTATATGAACTGGGCCATTAAGATTAGAACGAATTTTTCGTAAATGACATCTAATATTTGATTTCTATGGAAATTATAATTCTCATTTAATATTGAAGGTGTAAAATCATTATTAAATCCAAGAATCTTAGAATTAAAATGATTTTCTTCAAAACATTTTTTAGCGAATTTATATACATATTCAACATTACGTGGCGTACATGTATATATAATGTATACATGTATATGTATAAGTACATATTATTATCCTTAAAGAATAATTCTTTTTTAAAACAAAAATTAAATCATTTGTGCTAAAAATTTTCACAAAAAAAAACTAATTAAATTACTTAAGGAATTTCAAGTGTCAATTAAATGCAGATTTATGCATTTATAATTTACGAAAGATAAAGAAATAAAAAAGAAAGATAGCAGTTATACGATATAGAATAAAACCATTTTAAATTTCAAATTACAAAAAAAAAAAAAAAAAACAAAATGCACATAACCCACATTTCATTTTCAAAACATTTCATACACACATATACATTACGACGTGTAATATAAATGAGTAAAGAAGAGTCCTTGAAAAAAATAGACAAGAGTACAAGTATATTCTAAGGAATATGAAAATTTAGAAGAAAAGAAAAATTGTTAAGATTTACAAAAGATTTTGTTCTGTTTTCCTATGTGTTGTTACTAAAGATAAATTTCATGTTTAACATTTCTTAAGATTTTTTTATACATTTTTTTTTTATTTATAAATTTTCCAGCTTACCTTTTTTACTTTATATTTATCGTTACATGAATAGAACAAAACACACGTCTAGAATTATATTTTATTTTTAAAAAATTACAAAAAAAAAAAAAAAACGTAGAAAAAATAAAACATCTGCATAGAAAAATTTGTCTTAGAAAAATTTTCTATAAACAACAAAAAAGAAGAACATGCAATAACGTTTTAGTCAATCTTAATCGACTCTATTATACCCTACCTGCCAATCTGATTATAAAATCAAATTCCAATAAGCTTAGCAGGACCTAGTATATAATTATCAAGGTGTGTATAAAATATAATTCGACACTTTCTTACAAAAAATTTCATGAAATTATCCCAACCAGTTTTTCAAATATTTAATATTAGAATTTGGGATTGTATGCCAAATACTCAAACCTGTCAAGCCATTCCATTAAAGCTTTGTACTCCATAATAGAACATGTGTTGTAAATAGAATACATGACTGCCAAATTTCATTCAGTTAGTTTTATTATTTTTTTAAAAGTGGATTAGAAAAAATAAAAGAGGCTTTTAAGATTGCAGCCACCCGAAACCATTTTTGAACTGATTCAACCAAAAAATATCAGCTGTATTTGACAGGATAGAAACAATTTTCGAAAATTAAGTGTTGTTTGCTATTTTTGTTTTTATGTTATCATATCATCGGACGGACGGACAACCTTTATAAAATTAAAGTTTACACCAGTTACAAGAATATATGCAAACTGTATATACGGCAAATAATCTCACAAACTCTATATGATAAAATTAATCTATTTTTCACAAAAATTGTAGGGTATAAAAATGAGAAAATAAAGGATTTCTTTTATTTCCTAAATCGACGTAGATAAATTTTCATTAAACACAGGTACATGTGTGTATATTTTGGTTTTTCCTTTTTTGTACGAAAAACTATTTTACATGTTTACATACTAATGTTTACAAAATATTGTATATAAAGTAAATTTTTCTTAGGTAATGCTAGTTTCAAGAAAAGTACCCAACTAACATGTATATCTACAACCTACATACATATATGTATACATTCAATAAATATAGTTGTATATACTGACTTTCATTCATGTGCATATTTTAGATCATATAGGGGATCTTTTGATGAAACGTCTATCTTGTGACTTTAACATATTATTATAATAAAAAAAAAAAAAAAAAGTTATAGATATCTACATATGAGCGTACATATGTATGAGAATGTTCATTTTTAATTTACATACACATATACAATACAGAATGTATAACATTTGTGTTATTTGGAAAAGTTTAAATTCTGTAGGTGTTCAAAATACCATGTGGTAACCACATCATTTTAGTGTAAAATAAGTCTTGCATAGCATTAGAACATTAAGACAAAAAAAAAAAACTGAAAGTTTTCTGTTCATTTTTTCTTTTTAGTTCTCACCGTTACATGCTCGTGTATAACCGTTTTCTTTTTAAAGACTTTTTTCGTTTTCTTATTTTTTTTTTTTTTTTTGGTAAATATAGATTACTTGAACGTGACATTCATCTTAGAATGTCTATAAATTAAGTATTACCTATATAATTACATAGATTTTACTTTATTTATACAGAAATATAGAGAAATGTAGAGAATATAGAAAAGAGGAAATAGCGTATTAGTAAACGAACTAAAAGATGTGTTCAATTTAAATAAACTCAAAGAACCTCAAGAAATTTTGAAAAATTACCGATTAATTTACGTTAATTAAAAAAAGCGAATTCAAAATACAAATTACAAACCTTATACCTATTGTCTTTCCATTACCTAATATTGTGATTCTGAATCACAATATTAGGTAATGAAAATTAACATCAAATATGAAAAATTTTAAGTTGCATTCATACAAAGATGAATTAATATTTTGTGTATTTCATACTGTAAATGCGAATCATACGGTTTGATAATTCAACAACATAAAAATTACTATTTATATCGCGGTTGTATATATTTTAAAAATTAAAAGTTAAAAGTAAGAGACTCCATGTAACATTGTTAGCTTTCTAACTTGCCCCTACCGGCTTATTCATGATTTTCGTAATTGAGTTTTGCTTTGAATTTGATGATGACTCATTATTATAATCATATAGCCTTCCATTCCCTAGGAGATCGGGTCCTATCCATTAAGTTCTAATGTTCAATTTATTAAAACACAATCAAAAATGAAAAAACTGGTCGTTAAGCTTTGTTCTAATTCTTAATATTCAAAATTTTATAACATATATACATATACATATATTAAACTGTATCTCTTGCTTTATACATGCTTTCATACATGTCGGAATAAAAACAGAAAAACTTATAATATTGCGTACGTGCATTAAAAATATTTTTCTATAGAAGGAAAACATTAGCGAAATTTTTGTTAAAAAAAAAATATAAAAATAAGTAGAACTAGTGATACAAACATACTTTTAAAAACTACATTTTTCACTAGAAATTGAAATAATTTTGAATATCAGAAAATGTTATACATATGAAATTTTTAATGTTTAAATAAAATTGGTTGGAGAACAAAGTTTCTCATTTTAAACATTTTGCATTCTAATTATTCAAATACTAGAAAGAATTATAGTATGCTAACAATCAACAAGTTTTTAATAGTTCAATTCGGTCCTTTATATTTTAACTTGATACCATTAAAAAACAACTTAAGTGCTACCTTTTACGGCTAGAGTGCACAATGAAAACATTTTGTTTTTTGCATATCGCAAATCTGAAATCTTTAACGATTTTAAAATGGCTAATACTATTATAACTGGAATGATATATTGCAAGTCTTTCTATTCTATTTTTTGGTAAAATAATGTGATTTTATAAAATGTTCGTGCACTCTACTTATTTTTTCTACTATAAAGTTTTAAAACCAAAAAAAAAAAAACAAAATGGAAATTGTAATAGAAAACTTTGTCACATCAAAACAATTAGTCTTCATTAAAGAAAATATTAAACTTATAGCAAAATAATACCATAGTTATCCTAAATGAAACTATTAAATAAAAGTATTTGGAATCAATATGAAATATTATTGGAGATTTATATTTTTAAAAAATTGGTTCATATATTTTAAAAGGTTAATTTTAATTAATAAAATCAGGTTTTCGTATTTGTTTCAATAGCAATATACATGAACTTTCAATACCTGTACTATAGGTTTGCAGCTTGAATGAGAAAAGTCGACAAGGGGTAACTTCTGCTGCATTATTCTTTTGAAAAATTTCTCAACTATACCGCTGTATCATGTTCTTCTACAACAGTATTATTGATGGGAATTGTTACGATTATCTCAAGAGTAAAATTAACGCACTAGAGGCAAGTCTTCTAGATCGCTAATAGTTAAGATTCCTCGCCACTTAATATGCCAGTAGCATTTTTGCTTCTTTATCAGAAATGTTTCGCTTCCCTATCACCAGTAGACGTGACTAACAACTTTACTAATTTTTTAGCTTACCTTCTCATCAGCGTTTTATAAACAATGCCGATTCAAGTTATTGTACCTGATAGTAACGTTCTCTTTTGTTTAAATAACGTTATTTTCACTATACCAACCATTCAGACTAAGTTTAATATTCTAAAATATGATTCGGATGCATAGCCGAACAGCATAAATTTTCCTATTGCAATATTAAAAAACGTATAAAAAATCCTTTTATATCAAATAATTTAGTAATCTATCGCATAAAATTGTGATAAATTGGATGCAATTAAAATTATATTAGTATTAGATTAAAAAAAAACAACAAAAAACATATAGAATATAATCTGATGATCATCCTATAATTAATGAACCAAATAAAAAATAGAGCAAAAAGGATAATAAATAAAATTTTCATCTATGTACTTATGTATATGTACTCAACGTACACCTTCAATCTAATC